GCAGGGCTCGGTGCTCTCTCCCATGCTTTTCAACCTCATCATGATCGGACTACCGGAGCGTTCGACGCAATAGAGCGCATTAATCACATGATCTACGCAGACGACTGTGACCGTGTGGACCACAGCGAATACGAGCGTTGGTGAAATGCAGGAGAGAGTGCAGCAGGCGGTCCGTGCCCTGGAGCGGCACCTTGAAGGCACGGGACTTGTCTGCTCTCCCGGTAAACCGGAAATACTCCTGCATAGACCACGCAAGAAAGGACCTCACCTGCAGGACTGTGCATTGCGCCTGTCGCTTGGGCATCCGCATCATGACGAAGGAGGGGACCCAAATACCAACGGTGTCCAAAATACGAGTGCTCAGCCTGTGGCTGGAAGAGAACGGTGCGAACCATGAGCTGGTAGTGCGACTGCAAAAGAAAGTGGCCGCCGCAATGCACCTTGTGCGTCAGGTAGCGAAAAAAAGAAAAGGGCTAAAAGAACACAGCGTGACGAATTTAATACATGCGTACGCGCTAAGCCACATAGCATATGTCGCCGTGTATGCTGACTGCAACAGAAGCGAAACCGAGAAGCTGAATGCGGCGATTCGTCGAGCGTTCAAGGTAGCCCTGGGTGTGCCCCAGTACACGGAAACCCGCAGGCTTCTGGAGCTGGGTGTGCACAACACCCTCGACGAGGTAGCGGAAGCGCAGAGGATCGCGCAGCTCGAGAGGTTGGCACAAGAACGGGAAGACGCATTCTCGGTCTGCTCAAGATTCCATATCTTGAGGCGCGTGGACTGAAGGAAGCATTGCAACCGGAAGTCAGGGACGCCATACTGACAGAAAACATCCCCAGGAATATGCACCCCATTCACGACTTGCAACGACGCAAATGCAGAGCTGCAGCAATCCTGAAGGCGCATGGAAGCCAAGAGAGTGTCCTCTTCGTCGATGCGGCCAGGTATCCACTGTCAGCCGCGGCGGCGAGGGGGACGCTCGGAACCCCCGCCGCTACCCGTGAGTGAGCGAGGTGAAGTCGAGGCGCTAACACTACCACCACTGCTACTGCTACGACAATTACTGCAGCGACAGCGGCAACATCAACAGCAAGTCTGGTCAGCGGCGGCGGGACCTGCTTTCTCTATGGCAGTCCGGGATACAACAGGAAAGGTTCGGGTCACTGCATCAGCACGGCTGCATCATCCGAAGCTGCAGAAGAAATGGCCATAGCTTTAGCGGTACTCCACAGCGGTGCAGACGACAGCCTGATTATTAGCGATTCTAAATCAGTGATTCGGAGCTATATTAAAGGCTGGGTGTCCGAGGAGGTGGCACGCATGCCTAACGCCAGAGCTGGGGACTTCGCGTCAGGCAAGATTACTGACAAGGCCCTCAAGTGGTTTCCTGCTCACATGGGGGACAGTGGAACTGTCAACAACAGCCGTAAAACTATCAGCAACAACGGCAACAGCCAAAGACTAACCGGCATCCCGCCCTACCATAACGAGCGCGCCCACCTCGTCGCGAGGCAACTTGCCCGCCGCGACGCAGCCACCCAGGGAGCAGCCACCACGGTGGTTGGGAGGAGCACCGTCTGAGGCACGGTGGTGGCCACAGCCACTGCCAATGCCGAAATTACCACCCCGACCACGTTCGTTGCTGCGGCAACTGAAGTTTGTGCAGAAAAGGCGAGGCAACAGAAGTGAGCCGACTGCTGTGGAGAAGAATTTCCTGCCACGTACCACGACGTGCTTGTGCACTATAGGAAAGAACGGAAGAAATTTCCGCAACCTCACGTGCGCCTGGACAGGTCGCAGGCGGTGGACCTGAGAAGGCTGCAGACTGGCATGTTCACCAACCCGTACCAGTCTGCACCGCTTATGGCCCGCGCTGCACCCGTCGCTTGGCTGCCCGTGGTGCGCGCACGATTGGGCCGATATGGCACATATACTTTGGCAATGCGAAAGAGATGAAGATAGGCCACGAGAAAGGATGACGTCAACTGAGGGACCCACCGAAATGGGGCGCCTTGCTGAGCGATGGTAAGCCGCCCTTCTCAGCCAGGCCTTCGAAGACCAGGTGTGGGCCATCCACGGGCCAGGGCCGTCGTCGAGGAGCTCAAAAGATGTTCCTCAAACGATGTGTCCCTGGCAGCCTAGCCCCGGGCACAGCAACAACCGTTGGGCAAATAAAGTTACTCAACAACTCAACTCACAGCTAACGGCACAATGCGCTGGGAGCTGTCAAGACTAATGCTCTGTGAGCTGGCAGTACAGAGCATTAGTCTTGACAGCGACGTCGTCAGCTTCTTTAGCTTGTAGCACAGTGTCTCAGAAAAGACGGAAACGGCGGCTCCTGTGTCAATAAGCGCTACGACGGCAGTTCCTTCGACGTTGACGTCAATAACATTTCGCGGCGATACACATGGAGGCCTTAGGCAGTCCGACTTGCCTGCAGCTCTTGCCTCCGGAGCTGCAGGGATCCGTTTTCCCTCCACAGTAGTAGTTTCCCTCCACGTTTCCCTCCACAGAGAGCGTCATCAAGATGGGGATCGGGCACTGGAGGAGGAGGGGCGGTTATTCGAAATGGGAGTGGGTGGTGTGCTTGGCGACGAGGGATCGGGCACGGTCATCGTGTTGAAAAAAGAAGGTAGATAGCGGCGGCAGTGGTGAGTGATGTGGCCAGCGACACCACAGGTGAAGCAGATGGGCCTGTTGTCCGGTGTTCGCCACACATCTGGGTGGCGGAATGAAGGAGGCGAAGGGGCTACGTAGGGAAGCGGCGGGTAAGAATTCGTGGTCGGTTGGGAGGCGGGGATCGGCATCGCAGGGCGGGCATAGGATGACGGCTGTTGAGGTGGCCAGGAGGGGACGGCAGCGTAAGTAAGTGGCGCGCAGACGGGGGCATAGAGTGGAGGCTGCTAAGGGGGCGTAGGTAAGTGGCTCAGGTACGGGTGGTTGCTGGGACATAAAAGGCAGTGCCTCCGTGATTTGGGTTCGAAGGATGTGCTGAATGTCAGGGGCCAAGGTTTGCGCCAGTGCGTTCATGAGAGGGAGCAATAAAAGCCGACACGCTACCTTCACACGGATGAAGTCCTTGATAGTGGATAGCAGTGGCTGCTGGTCGGCACGGTGAGCAGTAAGCTGCAAGCTGGATATTGTGTCAGGCTTTGGGAGGGCTTGGCATGCGATCGAGCGCTGCCGACGCAACTCGTCGAAACTCTGACACAAGGATGCCACTACCACGACCGACAGTGAGTAGGGGGGGGGTTTGCGAGCAGCATCTGAAGAGCGTCGTCTGTGATGCCCTTGAGAATGTGCTTGATTTTCTCCTCTTCAGTCATAATGGAGTTGACACGGTTGCAGGTTGCAGAGGTTTAGCACATCTTCAATCTAGCTTGTGAAGTTCTCACCGGGGAGCTGCACCCGTTGGCGCAAGCGCTGCTCTGCCCGAAGCTTGCGAGCCAATGACCGACCGAAGACATCCGTAATAGAAGTCTTGAAGACTGACCAAGTGGGCAAGTCTCTGTCGTGGTTGTTGTACCACGATTGAGCGATGTCTGAAGATAAAACTAGACGTACCCACGCTTTATTTCATCGTCCCACTTGTTACTGGCACTAGTACGCTCATACTTTGATAGCCAATCATCCACATTAGAGTCCCTGGAGCTGGTGAAGATGGGCTGCTCTCGCTGGCGATACATAGGGCCGCTGGTGATGTGGACAGTCGAGGGTCCAGGCTGAAAAGGGGTCTCATTGGCCATAGTAGTAATGGAGTCACAAAGCGGGGGAGCTTCCGTGAGCCACATACGAAGTCCATGTTGGTATAGGGAATCCACGTACCTCCACCAAATGTGATGTGATTTATTGACGCTGGACATCAGGAAAGCTCGACGAACGTTAAACGTGAAGCGTCGAGGAGCAGCAGGCAAAAAGCAGCCAAAATGCGGGCAAGCGCAAGCTCGAGTTTGGCGCTACAATTGACATTGGTGCTTGCTTGCTCGTGTCTTTCGTCGTCATCCTTGCTTCACTACAGCTTGAATGCTTCTCTGCCAAGAACCACTCGCGCAAAGTACAGTGCCGGTTGTCATGCCACTGCGTCCGAGGTTTCTTTTCCAGGAAACTCTTGCGTCATCAACTGACCGTGCTTCAATAATAATACTTCTTCACTGACAATACATCTGCCACTCACGCGCTGTTACTGTAGGACACACCTTTTTCCACTGGCGGAAGCACACACTGACTTCATCACCTGCTTTGTCACTGTAGGACAAGCCTTCGCTTGCTGGTGGAAAACAAGCACGACATCACCTTGCTCACCTTCGTTCGCCGGCTACTTATATATATGGGCTCGCCTTGGGTTCTCAAAATTTGCAGTCTTTTCGTCAGCACACCGCACAGTCATAGCTGCAGAAAGAGCGAGATCTTTCTCGTAGTTTCGTAATTTCGGATGCTAAAAATCTTCGGTGTCTGATTTTTCGGACTTCCTGCGCAAATTTCTTGTAAGAACAGCATTAATAGAGTCCCCACCTCTGCCACATTTATCATCTTTATGTGGGAACCAGCACATTTAACATTTGCAACCGTAGCCGAGCGTCAAAGGCAGTGTTGCCTTAATACGGGAGTGTGAAGGGGTGAAGCATGTTGAAAATCTGAAGGGGCTGCTGTCAATTGGACATTGACTTTATTTTTCTTCAGGTTGTTCGAATAGTGTGAGTAGTTTAAGAAATATTCAAAATTTTGAATTGTTGCACACTTCTACTTTTCAGGCGCATGATTTGAAGTGTGCTAGTGCTGTGCAACTGCATATATGTGATTTTCATTTAAAAGAACCACTCCTTTCGCATGAAATTAGCACTGCAACGTTTCTGGAACTTCATTTCAACAATGAACGTCCATCTAAGATTTGCCTTTCGTGTCCCCTTAGGTTGCATGCCTGCAAGTTGTATTGTTTCAGACGTGCAAGAGCTGTAGTGCTGGAGCCTTCTTGCTTATGCTGTTGTTATATTGTGTGCAGGCATTATATGAAAATCCAACTGTGGAATTCAAGAGTGCGAATCTCATCAACCCAGGTGAGCATTGTTTAACGTGGCTCTGTTATCCCATTTCACTGTGTATGCATTAGCGGGCCAATAAACAACCTCACGGTCCAGGATTTCTGATGGAACAAGTAACTGCACACTTGTTCAATGTTAACATGCTGTCGCAATAATTTCGTGAATAAATGCTGTAATGAAGAAGTTACGGGTTATGAAAAAACCGGCTATGGCCAGTTTGTTTCTCGCTCGGCCTTTCCAATTTTCTCAGCAGTAGAAAGGGTCAGTAGAAAAGAGTCGGTGTAGCCCTTTGTCATGACATGCCTGCTTTAGCAATGTAACATGACATAGGCCATTACTTCATCGACGTGCAACCAATGACCAAACAAGGCTCCCTACAAGTGTCGCCCATGTCATAGCAGCGCAATGTAGTGGGGAAGAGGGAGAGAGACAGTATCTTGTAGGAGCACCTAGAAGACGACTACGACGAAGAGCTGAGCTCGTGACAGTGACTGACGCCCCTTGAACCAGGCAGTTGGTTTTAGTCAATAAACCCCCTTATAATTTGGTGGAAGTGCTGGGGTAGTCTTCGAAGCTGGAACTACGAAGTTTCACCTTACCTCCAGTGCCAGCAATGCCGGAAAAACCCTCCACCCTAGGTACCTCGCAAGTTCCCACCTCTACATGTCCTGGCGTGTGGCCACTGCATCACCCACCGATCTTCAGCGGCACTGATGGCCAAGACGTTGAGGAATGGCTGGCTACTTACCACAAGGTGAGCGCAGCGAACAAGTGGGACGATGTGGCTAAGCTGACCTATGTAAGCTTTTTACTTGTCCGGCGTCGCAAGTCTCTAGTTGTGCAATCACGAAGCCGATATTGCCAGCTGTGATTCATTCAAGATCTCCTTTTCGCAAGTCTTTGACCGCCCTGCTGTGCGAAAACTACGCGCAGAACGACGACTTCGTGAGCGCGCTCAACAGCCAGAGAGACCTTTACCAGTTACATTGAAGACGTTGACTTGTGCAAGCTCGTAAACCCAGCGATGCTTGAAGCCGACAAAATCAAACAAATCCTCAAGGGCATATGGGATGACCCATTTCAAATATTGTTAGCCAAGGACCCACAAACCATAGCCGATCTCATCAGCTTGTGCCAGAGTTTTGACGAATTTTGCGCAAGCAACGTGCCCAAACACAGCGCTTTCTGGAACTACGTGACTCGATCGCGGCCTTGACTCTCGAGACCAGAACGTCATATTGGCCCGCATAAAGCAGTTTGTGCGTAAGGAAGTTGCTTGGCAGCTCTCCATTTTATCAAGCACGCCCGAACCAGCACAAACGCATCCTCTGGCCCCAGATCATCTGGCCTCGGCCATAAGGCACGTCATACAAATGAGGTAGCTGACGCTTTGCCTTTCGCTCGTTCACCACCCCTGGAGGCCGCATTCTTGACGTTTGTGCAAGTCGTTGCAGCCAGAGCACTTCGACAGCCCACTTATGTTACCTCACCGGTCCCTGTTCGGTCATCACCAGTTCTGTTCAGCCGGTGGGTTGCGGCGTTTCCGAATCCGTGGCGCACCGCAGACAACCGCCCGATTTGCTATTCTTGTGGTTATGCAGGACATGTGGCTCGCTTGTGCCACTGCCGCCCTCTCATTCACAAGCGACACCATGCAAAGATCGTCGCACGGCTCTCGGCACTTTAACAACATGGCACGTCAACAAGGATCCTCTTCACCCAACTGCCCTCCCTCAGTCAGTCACCGATCTCCATCTCCCCGACGTCGCCCCCTGTCACCTATGCGCCGTCCACCCTGCCCCCGCAGTTCCCGAGGCACGAACTGCGTTGTTGTCGAAAGAATCAAGTCCTCGCATTTCTCCAACAAACCTCATCGACGTTTTTGTGGATGGTTACCGTACCCTTGCGCTTGTGGACACTGCTGCTGCCATTTCAGTAATTGATTTAAAACTTTGCCGCCTGCTTCGGAAGGTTACCACGACGCCAAAGGGATTGTCCCTCCGTACTGCCAGTGCTCACCATATTCGACCATCAGCTGCCTGTACCGCCCGCGTTCTCATCAGATGTTTTGTATACCATTGAATTTCTTGTGCTACAGGCGTGTTCTCATGATGTGATCCTCAACTGTGAATTTTCCGTCTCGTAATCAGTTCGGTTATCGACTGTGCTCGTGCTGAAGTGGCCTTCTCTGCATTTGTGGGCCTCGTCTCCGGAACATCCGTTGAACAAGCTGTTTGTCGCCGACGACATCGACATACCACCGACTAGCTCAGCCTTTGTTCCGTGTCTTGTGCCGATGTGTCTAAGCCTGCAGTGTTGTTTACGCCTTCCCAAACATTCCAAAGTCGCAAGAGCCTCGCGTTGCTGTTTACAGCTCCAGATATTTCGGCGGGCGCTACCAATTTGTTTGTCACAAATCCCTTGCCAGTCTCCCACAACCTTGCATCGCAGAGAATGTATTGGAACATTCCAAGACTTACACGTTTTCTCCTATCTTCGGCCTTGACGATGAAAATTATTTGTAGCCTTAGTGCACTGATGCCATCTGCTCGTTCACCTGTTCACGAAAACATTAATTTATTTGGCACCTCAATCGATGGCAAACTTGCAGAACCACACCGCGAGAAGCTTCTAGAACTTCACCAGTTTTGTGGCTCGTTCAATTGCCAGCAGACGTCCCGAGGCAGAACGCACACCGTTGTCCATCACATTAACACCGACTCCCAAGCGCCTCTGCGACAGCGTCCCTACTGTGCATCTCCTGTTGAGCATCATGTGATCACCGAGCAACTGGCCGACATGCTTCAACGTGGTGTCATTCGGCCGTCTAGCAGTCCCTGGTCTTCACCTGTGGTACTTGTGAGAAAAAAAGACTGCTCGATTCGCTTTTGCGTCGATTACCGGCGTTTAAACAAAGTCACGCCTAAAGACGTATACCCTTTGCCGCGCATCGATGATGCCCTGGACTACTTGCAAGGCGCTGAATTCTTCTCATCACTAGACCTACGGTCCGGTTATTGGCAGGTCACCATGGCACCATCAGACCGTCCAAAAACTGCTTTTGTGATGCCCGATGGGCTATACGAATTTAATGTAATGCCCTTCGGATGATGGATAGCATCTTGTGTGGGCTAAAATGGAATACATGCCTATGTTACTTGGATGATGTCATTGTTTTCTCCCCTGATTTCGACAGCCATCTCCATCGTCTCAGCGAAGTCTTGTGCTGCCTCACGAGCGCAAGCCTTCAACTGAACATCAAGAAGTGCCACTTTAAAGCTCGGAAGCTCACAATACTTGGCCACGTTGTCTCAAAACATGGCATCCTCCCAGACCCAGAGAAGCTTCATGCTGTCACTGAGTTCCCGAAGCCTACGACCGTGAAAGCGCTTCGCAGCTTCGTCGGACTGTTCTCATACTTTTGCTGCTTTGTGAAGAACTTTGCTCGATAATCGCACCACTGACACAGCTGATCACTGGTGATGAACACCTCTCTGATTGGTCGCCAGCATGCGATGATGCTTTTGCAACATTGTGCCATCTCCTAACTTCACCACCTATTTTACGCCACTTCGACCCTACTGCTCCAACCGAGGTGCACACGTGTGCCAGTGGCATAGGACATGGCGCTGTCCTTGCTCAACGCAAGCCTGGCTTTTCGGAGTACGTAGTTGCGTGTGTTAGTCGCACCCTAACCAAGGCAGAGCACAAATACTCGGTTTCCGGAAAGGAATGTTTGACCATTGTTTGGGCATTATAAAAATTTCGTCCTTACTTATATGGACGCCTGTTTGATGTAGTTACACATCATCAGCCACCCTGTTTACGAGGTGTCTCCTGACGGGAAGAGCACCAGAGTCTTGGAAGAACGCTAACATCATCTTAATACATAAGAAAGGAGATGACAAGGACTTGAAGAATTACAGGCCGATTAGATTGCTCTCTGTAGTATACAAGCTATTTACAAAGGTAATATGCTAACAGAGTAAAGAAAACATTAGAATTCAATCAACCAAAGGAACAAGCAGGATTTCGAACAGGCTACTCAACAATCGACCACATTCATACTATCAACCAGGTAATAGAGAAATGCTCAGAATATAACCAACCACTATACATAGCCATCAGAGATTACGAGAAGGCGTTTGATTCAGTAGAAATATCAGCCGTCATGCAGACACTGCGGAATCAGGGCATCGATGAAGTATATATAAACATCCTGGAAGAAATCTACAGGGGATCAACTGCTACCATAGTGCTTCATAAAGAAAGCAACAGAATACCAATCAAGGAGGGTTTAAAACAGGAGGACACAATCTCCCCAATGCTACGCGTGCTTACAGGAGGTTTTCAGAAGCCTAGAATGGGAACAGTTAGGGATAAGAGTTAATGGAGAGTACCTTAGTAACCTGCGCTTCGTCGATGACATTGCATTGCTGAGTAACTCAGGGGACGAATCGCAACTCATGATTACGGAGTTAGACAAGGAGAAAGGTGGGTCTTAAAATTAATCTGCAGAAAACGAAAGTAATGTACAACAACCTCAAAACTAATCTGCAGAAAACGAAAGTAATGTACAACAACCTCGGAAAGGAGCAGCGCTTCGAGATAGGTAATAGTGCGCTTGAATTTATAAAGGACTATGTCTACTTAGGGCAGGTAATAACCGCAGAGCCGAACCACGAGATCGAAGTAACTAGAAGAATAAGAATGGGGTGGAGCACATTCGGCAAGCACTCTCAAATTATGACAGGTAGATTGCCCCTATCCCTGAAGAGGAAGGTATATAACAGCTGTATCTTGGTGGTACTTAGCTACGGAGCAGAAACCTGGAGACTTACAAAGAGGGTTCAGCTTAAATTGAGGACGACGCAGCGAGCAATGGAAAGAAAAATGGTAGGTGTAACCTTAAGAGACAAGAAGAGAGCAGAGTGGATTAGGGAACAAACGGGGGTTAATGATATCATAGCTGAAATCAAAAATAAGAAATGGACATGGGCCGGGCATGTAGCGCC